ATAGCTACCACCACCACCACCGCCGCCGCCACCACCGCCACCACCGCCACCACCGCCACCACCGCCACCACCGCCACCACCGCCACCACCGCCACCACCGCCACAACCGCCAACCACCAACCGCAAAAAACAAGACAAGAACAGCCCCGACGACCACAGCAGCGCCAGCAAACGCAACATCCACAATAAGCACAACAACCAATCCAACGCAACAGTAAGAGCAACCGCAGCAGGAAAAGCAAGAGCAACACCTGTGCCGTGGTTCTTCCTCTCCATGCTGGCACCGAATTCGCCTCCTGCTTCTGCTAGGAGTTGCTATAGTCAGGTGCATCGCCACAGACATTAACATACTCTAAGAATCCAGGGTTCGCTTGTAATCGCTTTCGAAAGAGTCCTCCTTAGGGAGCCTGTCAAATTTGATGGCCCGCAGAACGACCTTCATAGTGAGCATTCGGAATCGAAAACCCTCTGGCAGGACCGCGCGCAGGCGGGGGAGCGGGTAACATGAGCACATTGGGCGAGTTCAACAAAGTTGTCCCGAATGGGATGGGCCCGTCGCCAGCGACCAACGATGCCCGGCAGCAAGTTTTCGTACAACAAATCACGAGTGCCGCTCTCCCCTTAAGTAGATAGAATATGGGGTATATGGGGATATGAACCCCCTAAAGCCCTACGTAACTCTTCATCCACAACTAATGCTGTATATGGTACTATCCCAAAAATAAGTGCACCCCAATATAGACCCTTAATTAGTATATTTATAATCCTTCTCATAGGGACCTCCCAAAAAGGTAACACTAATTTTGGGACCCCCCCCCCCCCACATTTCCTCAGATCTCTGACCTACCCTCCTGCTTGAGCTGAGGTGCTTCCTCCCCCTACTAGCCAACTTGTATTTTGGGAGTCCCTATGATAAGGATTCTGTTATGTTGGGTTCCATTTTGGGGCCTGCAATTTATGTAAACCCCCAGCTTGCAATTGTCAAGATGGCGAGCTAAACCCTCGACCTTCAACCACCCTAAACCCTAAATCCTACATCTATGATCAGAGTATGACAATGAGCAGTCGTCCTGGCCGCGAGCCCTTGACCCTAAATCCTAAACTTTCGACGGGCTTAGGGTTTTGAGGGTTTTAGGGGTTCATCGTTCAGGGCGGGTTAGGGTTTAGCGTCTAATGCAGGTGTGCGATGAGACAGGATGATACCCTAAACCCTTAAACACTAAACCGCAGTATCAGCGGCACCGGAATGCTGTGGGTCACCGTCACACTCCTATCTAAGCCCGTTTTATCTCTTACATAATCACCCTAAACCCCAGACCCCGGACTCCAGACACGGAACCCAAAAACTCAAAGCCCCAAATCCTACACCTGGAACCTTGAACCCTAAGCCCTAGACCCTAAACCCCAAAACCCAAAAACTCAACTACCTCGAATCCTGAATCTTAAGCACTAAGCCTCAGACCCCAACCCACAAAACCCAGAACCAGTCTGTAACCCTAAGCCCCAAACCCTAAACCTTGGGTAGTCGCCCACGCACTGATAATCGTATATTAGAAATATACAGAAGCCCCTTCATGCTTACCATTATTCTTGGTGGTCACTTGAAGTGGGTGGGGGCCCAACCCTAAACCTCAAAAATCAAAAGCCTTGTCTGCCGCTGAGCCATGTTGTTTAGGATTTAGGGTTCCCTGAGCCGAGGAGAAGGCGTCTTCCGTCCAAAGCTTGAGATGACAGGCCCAGCATTTTTTTTTGAGGGGGGGGGGGTCGGGTTTAGTGTTTAGAAAGCATGTGCAAGGGATCTACATTCGGAGGTTCATGTGTAGTGATATCCATGGCTACAGATGCCCCGAAGATGGCTCCAGGTAGAGGCACCCCATGTCTACTTCTGACTGCTGTCAAACCTAACACCCGAAACCCTAGACCTTAAAACGCTAAAACCCTAAACCCTAAAACACTTTAGGGTTTAGGGTTTAGGGTAACCTTTCTAAAGCCCTAAACCTTAAAACGCATTTCTAATTCGGACGGCAGTCGTCCGTGAGCCCCGATGTGCAGCGTGAAAGGTTTGCTGGGACTGCTGGTATGAACTGTAGTCTAAAGTCTTGGAAGAGGTTATATAGGGGATTACATAAGGTTTAGGGTTTAGGGTCTAAAGTTCTTAAAGTGGGCTATATAGGGATAATGGAAAAGAAAAAGGAAGCTACCATTTAGGGTTATGGTTTAGGGCTAAACTCGGGCTTGGGGTTTCTAATGCTGCCCCTTTAGGGGTATACTATCGGGTTATATAGGGATAATGGAAAAGAAAATGGAAACTATTATGTAGTATCTTGGGGTTATATAGGTGACATATTGGTGATGTATTTGGAATAGCCTAAAGTCTTTAAAGGGGGTTATATAGGGGATTATATAGGGTTTAGGGTCTAAACTCCTTAAAGGGTGGGGTATATAGGGGATTATATAACCCCCTTTATCCAGAGTTTGGGGTTATAGGGGATTCTAAATGGGACTACTATGGGGATGAGTAAGGGGATACTAGGGACTGTAGACTACAGCTCACATAAGACCTAGTATAGAGGCAAGTAGAAGGAGTTAGCAGGGGAAGCAGCAGCAATATCGAACAACGACCGAAGTGAATGTGGTAATGATGAAGAGCAGCAGTGTTTCAAATGTTGGCTCCGTGATTTTGGCTGATACCCCTAAACCCTAAACCCTAAACCCTAAACCCAGCCCCATACCTCTTTGCACGTCGTCGATGCAGGCCGAGATGCAGTCCAGGACTCTCTGGCAGAGATTCCAGCAATTCCAAGTGAAATTCCTGTACTGTAGAGGACAAGGCTCCCGGCGAGTGTTTCAAATTCTGAAACATCAGGATGTTTAGCCCGCCAGTGACTCTCACAGTAGCTCTATTTTTATCATGCGGAGATGCCGAAGGCACTTCACGTGGGTAGGCCCCCTTGGGAATTTTTTTTGCTTTCCCTCATGGCTTTAATTTAATAGGGGACCCAGAACCCTACACCCTATGGCTTGAATAGGGGCCAACCCAATCACTCGCAAGGCCAGTACGTGTGCCTTGCGCGTTTGAAGTCTCACCCTGGGCTACGTGCTCTGGGAGAGCCGCAGTGCACGAAAATCGGGCTTCACCTGCCGTGATCCAAACCTTATTGGGGGTTAGTAGGGAATATGGGAATGTGTTATATAGGGATTACATAGGGATTCTATCCCCTTTGTTAGATTTCACCAAAAGCCTGTGTCCAGGCTCGTTGTCTAGCCCCACAAAAAAGGTTACTTAAGGGCCTTGAAGTCTAGGTGCAATAGCGCAGTACTATGCTCCACGTGGTAAACAGTTCATTTCGGTACATTCCGTCTAGTCGCATATTTGATATGTACTGTAGTCTAAACTCCTTACAGGGGGCTTTATAGGAGATTATTTAGGGGACTACTACAGGGGTTATTAAGGTGGATACTAGGAGTTTAGACAGTGGCTCATATACCAGACTGCGGGGCCCGCCTCGAACAAAGCTCAGATGGCGAATGCGTAGGCAAACTTGGCCTTCAATCCCAGACAAGTGACGGTTCTAGATGTTAATTTGGGACTAACTTCCAAATGGCAGAATGCTCTGAACCTGCATTCCTCCAATACTCTTTATGTAATCCCCTGTATAACCCCCTTCAAGAAGTGCCCTACAATACTCTACATACATTCCCCTGCATAACCCCCTTTGAGAAGTTTAGACTATAGCTCACGTATGGGGCACTTCCCCACTCTTATTACTGAGCTGCTGTTAGGGAACTGAGTTTAACTATATATGAGGAAACCCTACTACTTACCATATCCATAATGGTAACTTAATCTAAGTTCCTTAACAGCAACCCAGTAAACCTAAACCGTAAACCCTATATAACCCCATTGTGGTGGTTTCCATTTTCCTTTCCAGAGCTGATATATAGGGCACTTCCCCACTCTTATTAAGTACTAGTGCCTTGATGATGATCACATTGACTGCTCGGCCTGCGCGTTGCCAGGCTGTAATGTAGAAGCCTAAATGTGGTAGGCTTTAGGGTTTAGGGTTTGGTCTTTGGTGGGTGTATATACCGGGTTCCTTAGCAATATTGGTGAGTGCATATGATTGGTGTCCAATTTGGGGGGACCTAAAATGAGCACCGTGGGTGAAACCATTACCAATATTATGGTCTGAGATTCCCTGTATAGTTATAGTCCCCCTTAAGTAGATAGAATATGGGGTATATGGAGATGATATTATAATGTACCCAAAGCCATATTCTATCTACTTAAGGGGGACTATATGATGTAGGGTACCTCAAATGAACCACGCTCTCATGTAGGTAATTATTCGGGCCCCCGCATTCCGTCATATAGGCCAGAATATAAACCCAGTTTGCATTTCATTTTCCATGTCATTTTCCAATGGATTCTCCATTATGCCCCTGCATACCCCTTAGAATGGCCACCGAAATTCCGCATGATCCGAGGTGCTTCACTTCGCAATTTCTCGCTAAATCACCGTCTTTACACACCCCCAAGTACTAGTATTTGAATTGTAAGCGCCGCCCCGCCCCCCCCCGCCTCCCCCCAGAAAAACAAGAAAAACAGTTTACATCCGTTCGCCTGATGTGAAGCATCCCACACCACCCGATACCGAAAATGTTCCTTGTTTGTGGGGCTCTTGTAGGGCTTCCCGGGGACCACAAAATATTGCACAGTAGCAGTCTTGGCAACCCTACCCCACAAAACTAGAACTTGATAACTCTGTATCATGTGGCTTTCATAGGTCCTAATTTCGGGTTGGGGTTACCAAAATCCTCTCCGTGTCTTAGGTCCCCAAATATATCTGGTCTCTGAGCTAATACAAAAGGGGGGGCAGTTCATACGGTATCACCCTGAACCCTAAAAGGTTAGGATTTTATGACCACAAAAGGGATATTAACCCAAGGAATCAAAGAGCACTTACCCTCCTAGGGATCCTATTAGAGTGCTCTTTGATTCTGTTTAACCTAGCCCAAAAATCCTAACCTGCCCCTAAACTGTGGAAGTTGCTGGGCAACTGTTCCTCTTGGGGCTCAAGGATTTAGTCGATGTGGACTTTATGTATCAAGTCACACAGCTCAGTTTTTGTTTGTAAGCCCTACGCCCTAGACCCTAAACCCACTTTTAACATCATCCTGAACTTATGGTCATCCTTGCTTTGTTCACAGAAGGCCAGAACCCCCAATCGGAACTGCATGAGAGCTGTAGTCCAAAATTCTTAAAGGGGGATATATAGGGCATTACATAGGGGACTACATTAGGTGCGATTAAGGGGATACTTGGAGCTTAGACCATAGCTCATGTATATCCTGCCGTACCCCTATTAGGGGCGCTATACTGCAGATCGGCCGCAAGCATGTGTTGGCACGTGGGTAAGTCTGATGCGGCTGACAGTGAAGTTGCCACTTGCAGTGCTCGTGTCACTGGTTTACATAGGACTATATAATAGTCCTGGTGAGTAGTATTTTATTTGGGGACTTTATGACACCCAATATAGAGTAAGATTATATCCTCGTTTTGGGGTATAGTACTTTATATACATAATGAAGTCTTACTTGATTCAACCACCAAAAAAGGCACTACTCTCATAGTCCTATCTCCTAGTAGTGGCAGGAGGACCGTCAAATCTCTACACCAAACCTTGCCGTTGCTTGAGGGAGAGTAGGGGAGGCAAGAATCCCTACATTATCTATTGCCAATATTAGCCTCATTAAGGGACCCTTGACAGCTTGTAGCTTAGTATAGTCCTTGATAAGGAACCCATGTCCAATTATGTAGGAAATATTGACTGTAGCTCACATAATCCCCCATCATCGTCCCTGCATTCACCCCCCCACTTTTTTCTTAGGCACCAGTAAGAGGAGAGATCCCCATGGACAGCTGAGAGGGTGCGATGCGCCCAGTCGAGCGAAGAAGCCGTGAAGAGCCTTGGACCAAGAGAGGTTTGGGGGTACCATTTTGGGGTACGCCATGATCAGGGTGTAGATTGAGGTCCCCATCTTTAGGGCAACTGCGATTTCGCGATTCCCCAGAGTGCTGATGGGAGAGCCCGATCTTGCTCTTGAAGCCCACAGCGTTTAGGGTTTAGGGTCTGAACTGCTCAAGTAGTATCTTCAAAGAAGATTTGCGCAGGGGGTACATGAAGAACCCTCTGGTGGATGGAGGGAATCCTGCACCACTCGTAACTTCTCAAGTATACAGGACTTTCTAGGGTCTAAGGTATTGTAGCCAAGATTTTCTGCAGCCTACGGGATCGCGCCGGCTGGTGCAAGCTCCTTACATGGATTGCATTGCTAGGGTTTAGGGTTTATCTGGCTTTTGGGCGCCTGGGTTTAGCGGTTCTCCAGTTTCGACAAATCTTAGCATCTACAGTGCCTATGAGACAAAAAGGTAGTACAGCCATATCAGGGATGGAAATTCACAGGGCAAGTGCTGAACCGAAGGTCAACATGCATGAAATGAGAGCAGGAGAATATCGCCTGAAGCCTGAGCAAAATCCACAAGGCAGCAGAGGGTTCGGTCCATCCATTCATCCATCCATCCATCAATCCATCCATCCCTCAGGGTCCAGCGCTTATAAGTAGGGTTATATGCTCCCCGCTTGTAACAAGAGTTTTCCTAACTGCACTAACTATAACCCCTTTCAACTACCCGTGAACCTTCAAGTAGAGTCTAGGCCATGACCTGT